TTAGGAGAATATGCCTCCGGCAAATGTGGTAGAGGTTAAGGATGAAGAGATGGTGTAGGAACCTGCTCCTCTTGTTAGGAAAACATCAAAGAAAGCAGGTTCTGTGAAACAAAAGAAGGTTCTATCTGAAAAAGATGGTGAAGTTGTTGAAGAAGGAGAAAACTGTAGAGAAGAAGAAGCCTCTCAGAAAGAGGTCAAGTAGCAGTGAGGAACCTGGTTTCTCAAAGAGGCAAGAGTAGAACTCTCTAAGCTTGAAAGAAGAGCAAGTTTGAAAAAGTAGAAAGTTTTATGGGGAAGAGTGTTCCATTATGAGATTCTTGATCGCTCTGGAATGAGGCAGTTGGTAGAAATCTGTGACTTCCAGAAGTGGACTCATTTTTTTGACATCAAGAGTCCATAAGTGTATGAGGAAGAGGTTCGCAGTTTTTATGTTGATTTATTTACAGTGGAGGGTGACATAATTTGCTTGAAGATCAATGGGAAAGAGTTTGTGATGGATGAGGCTCTGCTTAGGGAGATTCTTGAGGTGCCTACTGAAGGGATCTCAACTATAGAGGGAACCTATTCCCCAGAGTTTAAGAAGATAATCATCAAGCCTCAAGTTGTTCAAATGGGAGAACGAGTGCACAATAAGGAACTTCTGCGAATACCAATGGTTATTTGAATTGGTGAACAAGGTCTTGCTACCTAAGGATGAGAGGAGATCCATGGCCTCTATAGTGGACCTGGTTCTTCTGGAAGCACTAGACTCTTGCACTCCCATCAATTTGCCTGGTATTCTGATTAAGCATATGAAGAAAGTGGCAGATTTCAAGGATGGCAATCATGGACTGCCATATGGGTTCCTTCTTACTAAAGTCCTTAAACGATTTGAGTTCCCTTTGGGGGGAGCATCAGTGGGAACCCGCAAACAAATGTTCACCATGATCACCCTGGAGGAGTGTGAGTGCGTGGACAAGAACGGAGGTATAGGCAGTAGCTCAACTATTTTTCAGCTCGTCGACGCTCAAACTGCTGCAAATGAGGAAATCAAGCGCCTAAAGGCCCAAAATGCTATTCTTGAATCTAAGCTTAATCAAGCCAGCAAGGAACCTGGTTCCAGCAATGCTTAGGGCGAAGAGATTGCCCGCCTGGAAGCTAAAAATGCAAAGTTGAGAACCAAGTGGAGAACCTGAAGGAGCAACTGATCAACAATCAAAGGGCTGTTAATACTCGCATGGACAACCTCATCAAGGAGCTTGCTCCCTTGTTCTTCCGTTCCCCATCCAATGTCCCCTATCCTACCCCATAGACAGTTCCTTCTTCATCTTGCCTTGTCTTTTGTTGTCCTCCCCTATTGACTGTGGTACTGTAGTTTTTGGATTGTATATGTGTGTAATTATGGCACTGCTACCTCGTTTTGTTTTCTTTTCTTAAATTAATGAGCATCGTTGTCTATTTAATGCAATTCTTCACTCTTGCGTTCTGTTTTTAGCTATGATGTGTGCACACAAGTGGCAAGAGTCAACTTTGTTGGACTTCATTTTTGCATTTACTTGTCTAATCTTTTTTATGATGCCAAAAGGGGGAAGAAAATCAAAAGTAAGGAAACATGTTCTCAAGGGGAATATGAAAATTCGTAGGGGGAACAATGTGGAGATCTGGTTCTGAGAGGGAATATCAATTCTAAGTTTGTCATCATCAAAAGGGAGAAAATTAAAAAGTTATGTGTCTTTTGTTATGATAATTTGTCAAATTTCATGAGAGAACAAGATAGGGAACATATAGGGCTCAGTTTCTTCCGGTCACGGTATAAGTCAACTTTACAAATGTTAAAAATGTTGCACTGTACTCGCAATAGTACAGCAACATTATTGAAGCGTGATGTGTATCGGACACTCCCTTGCATCATCTTTGATGACCTAACTCATATATTATCAACATGAGGCAAGGGATTTCTAAACACACTTGCAAAACCTAAACATTGAATTCTCTCAAGTGTGCAACCGCTCTTATTCTCTCTGAGACATTGAAGAACAAAGCAGCAATAGAACAAAGGACCAGATCCCACCATTGATTATATCATGTGTTCTTTAGTATTGTTGTGCCTCTGTCTTGTGTTATTAAATTGTAATTCCTATGCAGCTTTTCATAAGCATTCATAGGACAACTTTTAAACTATTATCTTTGTGGTTGTTTTGACTAGAGTTAGTCAAGTGGTTAGCTTTGTAATAGAGCTATTACAAAGAAGCTTATAATATAGTTATTGTGAGTAAGCGAAGGATTAAGAGTTTAATTCCTAGATTGCAATAGATTGTAATCTAAAGTTTGCTCAGTTAGTGAAGTTAAATCCTACCAGTGTAGGTCGTGGTTTTTAATCCCGTGAGTTGGGAGTTTTTTATGTAAATATCGTTGTATTCTTTACTTATTGTTGTGTACTGTGGGAATTGATAAAAACTGAACCAAATTTTCTGTATAGTTTGGTGACCCATAGTTTTTACGAGAACAAATGATTTATTACTATTTCTGCAGGTGAGACAAGGATGATGGGTGAAATCTGGTCTGCCTTATTTACACAGTATGCTCACTTGCAAAAGAGTAACAATTTTAGAACCCAATTCAAAGGTTGTTGTTGGCAAGGCATCACGGTATTTTCTATGCTAGATATGGTGTCAAAGTCAAGGAAACGTGTAATTCCTTTCCCCCGTCCTTCCACAAAAGTTTTTGATATTTATAATTTAAGCATTCAATTTTTTCTTAAATATTTGGAAGGCTAAAAGGAATATCATATTCGTAATTCTGAACTTTCTCCAAAATAAAAATATGTTGTACTGCTCGCCTTTGTTCTACCCAAATTTTTAATCATAAATAGATGTACTAATATTAAACATGTTAAGTGGTCTAAGCTATTAATATCACTCATATGTAGTTTAGAAATCATTTCTTCCAAAACCAAATTCAATACTCAGAAATCTATTTTTGAATTTCATTGATTTTGATCCAAATGCTCTATCACGTTTGGTTAGGTGAAAAAGAAATGGACATATTTGTTCTGTTGCCACCACAAGAGTACGTCCCTAGTGATGTGACAAAACTCAAAAGCCACCGTTCCTATCATCCACTCACAACATAGAAATGTAAATAATGTTTTCCACTTATGGATTGCAGCTGTAGTTGTCGCTACTATGAATTAAGAAATTCTTTATTCGCAACAATAGCAAAGTTTCCTAAGAGGAAGAGAAGCCAGAAAAAAATAGAACAAGTAAAATGTAGGAGTGATGTACTTACTTTCCTCTTGAAGATAAAGATTAGAACAGTTTGTTGTATATGATGTAAAACTAGTCGCAACTTTAGATAAAAGGAACTTCCCCTATACTAGGATTATGAAATTGCTTAAGAAGGGAACATTCGTCTACATTAACAGAAAAAGGAAATCCGCATAGGTGGACACTGTGATGGCCTGAAACCAAAATAGGTACTAATACTTTTGTTTAAACACTTTTTAATTAATAGAGTGATGTTGACTAATTTTAAAAGCTAAAGTACTAGATTAATACATCTTTTTTAAATTTAACTCTTTTTCTTTATCCAAGTTTGAAGTCGGTTATAATCGTGAAGCTCTCTTGGTCCCGCGTCCTGAGACCGAATTTAAGATTTAAATTTTATAAGTTCAACTTTTAAAAAATTTCGTATTGAACAATTATGAATTTAAAGTTATGGGTTCATGTCTATTATTTAATGCAAGTTCAGTAAATTTTTACATATAAATTTATGCTCTGCGTGAAAAGTTGTGGGTTCAGCTGAATCCGTATTCATAATAGTTTACATCTGCCCAAGGGCGGCCAAAGGGTCAAGCAACTAAAGCAAAAGCTTTAGGCCCCTTTTGTTTTCTACATGTGCTCGGTATTTGTATTGAGACCCTGATTAATCTAAATTCATACCGCGTAAGACCTAGTAAAAGGGAGAACACATTTTAGTAGGATTTTTTTCATCCAAAGGACTCGAACCCGATACATCTAATTAATGTAAGTAGGATCATATCCATCTCACCACAATCTAAATTAGGGTCTAATTATATTGAGTATTTCAAAGTTAAAAATGTAATATTTTATAAAAAGTAAAGGTAACTCTTAGTTTAGTATTCATGTAGTCGATAGAGCAAAAATTGGATAAAGAGAATCACTTCAGCTAAACCCTTATCGCGAGTATAAATTTTTTTATTATTTAAATTTTACAATTGACATCATTAGTGAGGTACCTATATTATTATTCTTCTTTTTATATTTCTAACTAAAAACGTGTTATAAACTTTTAGAGTCCATTTTTTAGTAGGAGTATCTTCCGTCTAAGTCTTATTTTTTATTTTTCTCATCAGAAAACATGTATTACATTCTTATATTCTCTTTCTTGGTTTCTGCAAAAAAACTTAAGTTTTCAATAAATCATATTGATATGTAAAAAGAAAAGATTTTTTTTTAATTTATAAAATGCAAGAGGTGAAGAGTACTATTGAATAAAACTATATTGCGCATTTTTTTTGTTTTTTCTCAGGTTTCAAGTGTTTCAACAAGTATATTACAACATCAAAAAATTATTTCTATATCAAGTTATCAACTTCTTGAATATGATTCTATTACCTAAGATCAACAATATTTTAGGAGAGATTAAATTATTTATAGAGAAAATATTATTAGCAACTTTACATCTCAAAAAGTTAGAAAAATAGAATTCAAATAAAAATATAAATAAATATGTATTTGTTTTCTAAAATTGTTGTTAAAGATCCGCCCGGCCCGCACCCAGTACCAAATTCAGATAATGCAAACATGTGCCTAACAAATCTTGTATATTCTAATTATAGAACCGCATTAAAGTCTGTTGTGAACAAGGAGTAGAATAAAGGCATCACGGATCAAATTCATCATTGGCTAAATTAAGAAAAGTGGTATCTTTATTTATTTTTAATTTTAATTTTATCCACAAATATATAAGTGAGTGTTGTACAGAAGAAACACCATTAAACATACAAATTAAATGGGACGCCCAATAACTGATGAAGTTGTCACCTTTATCTTCTTCTTCCTCAGTTGTATGCTCTTTATCAGCACTGAGTCAACTCAGCCTCCATTTTCATGTGACTCGTCAAACTCAGTTACCAGTTCATTTCCCTTCTGTAACAACTCCTTACCCATCCCCCAAAGGGTACATGACCTCGTATTACGCCTTACGTTGGACGAGAAAATACTACAGCTGGTTAATGCGGCACCGGAGATACCTCGACTCGGTATCTCCGCCTATGAATGGTGGTCGGAGGGTTTACACGGCGTTTCTAGGCATGGTAAAGGCACGCTTTTCAATGGCACTATTAAGGCTGCCACTATGTTCCCTCAGATCATTTTAACCGCTTCTACCTTTGATGAAAATCTCTGGTATCGTATTGCTCAGGTACTTTAGTATATGGCCTTGATTTGTGGGCTGTCATTATATATGTTTGTTGAAAGCTCCAAGAAAGATTTCTTCAATTTGTTAGAGAATTCAGGTTCTTGCATGATAGTGTACAGACCTACAACAAAAAGTAACCACTATGTTAATTGCCCGATATGGTAATCTAGAAAATAGAGTAACAATTTGTAATAACCGATTAAATTCCACTGCTAGTAACAAAATACTTTACACTTTCATTGTATATAATTTGAACTCCTTAAATTTGATACTGCTAGTGCTTTAACCGGTTGCAAGTCTTGTAACATGTTAGTTATCATCTTTTCTGCTCGTTTGGTACAAGTGATAAGGTATAGTTAATCCCGGAACTAAATTTGAGATGAGTTTATTCACTTTTGGTTGGGATAAAATCACGGTATAACTAATCCCGAGATTGAGTTTAACTTATGTAACTGGAGTTTGTAAAATATTTTTACACTATAATTAACGTCACTAAAAGAATAATTACAGATGACTTAATGATCTTACAACTGTATAACATACATTAAAATTATATTTACTTGAAAGTATTGGTTTTAAAAAGTTGGACAAATTAAAAATTATGGGACAGAAGTAGTATGCTTTGCTTGATAAAAAAGGAAAACATTAGTTTGTTGAGCTTGTTGCTTTGTGTAGGCAATTGGAAAAGAGGCAAGAGCGGTATACAATGCAGGTCAGCTAAAGGGGATGACATTATGGGCACCAAATATAAACATATTTAGGGACCCAAGGTGGGGAAGAGGGCAAGAAACACCAGGGGAAGATCCTATGATGGTGGGAAAATATGGAGTTGCTTATGTAAGAGGACTTCAAGGTGATAGTTTTGAAGGTGGGAAACTTCAGGATGGACATCTTCAAGCTTCAGCTTGTTGTAAGCACTTCATTGCTCAGGATTTGGATAATTGGTATAACTTCAGTCGTTACACCTTCGATGCTCACGTAAGTCTTAACTAACTCTGTTGCTTCAGTCTGTTAGGATTATGTTGTTGATAGCTTTCAAATGTTCAAGTTTGTTTATGGAGGAAATTTCCATTTTTGGCATGGTTTGATGGTTTGACATATTGACCCTGAATTTGTCACACGGCTTGCATGTGAGAGTACATGTTACAGACATAGAAGAACTGAAAGTAGCTTTAGATGAGACAATTCACACAATGCAATTAAGTTTTTAGATGAGCTGGTGTTCCCAAACTAATTCAACGAGAATGTTTACAAGCATAGTGTCAGCTAAAAGCTCTTCCTTTTTACCCCCCTTTAATTTTCATGTATAAATTGATGCACAGGGAATTGGTTAATGACATTCTCTTATGGATGTTAATACACAATTAATTAGCACATGCATCTGCGGGTTGTGTTATTATCCATTTTCTCCCCTTAAAGCTTTTATTTCTGTGCTAATGCATGGAGCTATTCAGGTCATGAAGCAGGATTTGGCAGATTCATATGAACCACCCTTCAAGAGTTGCGTCGAACAAGGGAAAGCAAGCAGTCTAATGTGTGCTTACAATCTTGTTAATGGGATCCCAAATTGTGCCAACTTTGATCTTCTGACCACAACTGCCCGTGAACATTGGGGTTTCCAAGGGTAATATTTACCAAAGAGAAGAAAATGTTGAATTATGAGTTATTTCATTCCTAATTCAAATCTAACTCATATCTATAAGAGTACTGGTTGTATGTTATTTAAAGGTACATTGTATCTGATTGTGACGCAGTTGCTATTATGCATACTCATCAAGGCTATGCTAAAGAACCAGAAGATGCAGTAGCTGCTACTCTCAGAGCTGGTAACTGGTCTATTTTCTGCTTCTATTACTTGCTGTTAAAACAACAATTTAGTCCCCCGGACCACATTTTCTAATGAACATTAAAAAATTATTTTGCTTGTTTGTGAAATCGAAGATTGAAGCCTCACATCAATTATGTATTTGCATGCTTTGTCCTCAAGTGTTAAGTGTGACACAGTATGCACACCGTGAGAGAAAGTTTACTACTATAAGAAAACATTCTCTACTGCGCATGTGTTGAAAAATACAGGACCATTGGCATGCCCATAACTTGGTCCATTCTGTCCTGAAACAGAATAATCTTTTTGCTGATGATCTGTGCATTTCTATAATTGGCCAGCTTTCTTGCCCCTATTTATAAATTAGGTGTATATCTGCTAGTCCTTTATTCCAAAAGATCTTCTCTCTTTAAGCTTTTTGGTACTATTAGTCGATATTGAGATTGTTCTGGCATTGCATTTACATGCTAAAGCATCTACGATTGTGATTTACGAATTTAATACAATACCTTCTGTTGTTTAATCTGAATGTAGCAAAGATGAAAACTAACACGCATGGCTCTTCTTGTTAGTGATGAAATTTGTTCTAGTGGATGTAATCAATTTCTACTTGTAAGACAAAATAATACATAAAAGAGAATGTAGATTAAATGGTGCATAATGCGACAATATGTTGAAAAAAGCATGAAAACAAGGAATTTTATTCGAATTTACCCAAACTTCATTGATAGAAACTAACTGGACTTTGTTCTTGTAAATGAAATTTCAGGCATGGATGTGAATTGTGGTTCCTACTTGAAGTCATACACAAAATCAGCTTTAGAAAAGCAGAAAGTAAAAGAATCTGACATAGACAGAGCTCTTCACAATCTCTTCTCCATTAGAACGAGGCTAGGACTGTTCAATGGTGACCCAAAAAAACTGGAATATGGAGACATTTCTTCAGTAGAGGTTTGTAGTCAAGAGCACCGGGCACTAGCCCTCGAAGCAGCAAGAAATGGCATTGTCCTTCTAAAGAATTCTGCCAAACTCCTTCCACTTTCAAAGATCAAAACAACATCCCTTGCTGTAATAGGTCCTAAAGCAAATGATTCCGAAGTACTTTTAGGTAACTACGAAGGCTATCCTTGCAAGAATGTTACATTACTCCAAGGACTTCAGGAGTATGTTAAAAACACAACGTACCATCCGGGCTGCAATTTCGTCAACTGTACTTCTGCTGCAATAGATGAAGCAGTTGACATAGCGAAAAAAGCAGACTATGTTGTTCTAATAATGGGATTGGACCAGACTCTTGAAAGAGAGAAGCTTGATCGCACGGAATTGGGACTACCTGGTATGCAAGAGAGTCTCATTACAGCGATTGTGCAAGCTGCCCCAAAACCTGTTATACTGGTTTTGATGTGTGGAGGTCCAGTGGATGTGTCCTTTGCAAAGGAAAACCAAAATATAGGAGCCATTTTGTGGGTTGGTTACCCTGGTGAGGGTGGAGCTACTGCATTGGCCGAGATACTTTTTGGCGAACACAATCCAGGTGAAGTTCAACTTCAATATTCCTTTTAATTGTTATGTATTGCTGAAATACATGCTAAACATGAAAGATTAAATTACATTTCAGGGGGTAAATTACCAGTCACTTGGTACCCTAAGGAATTCAACAAAATATCAATGACAGACATGAGGATGCGGCCTCTATCATCCACGGGATATCCAGGGCGCACTTACAGATTCTACAATGGGCCAAAAGTTTTCGAATTTGGTTACGGTCTCAGCTACACTGATTATTCTTACGCGTTCGCCTCTGTCAACCAAGATAAGCTGCATTTCAAGAACCTGAAGGTCAATAAGGCAACTGAAAATGGTTCTGCTCTGAGCATTGATGTTTCAGACGTTGGATCAGAAGTATGCAACAACGCGATGATCGCAGTTAAAGTTGCCGTGAAAAACCAGGGAGAAATGGCTGGTAAGCACCCCCTATTGTTGTTTCTGAGGCATTCCAGCACAATGGATGAGATTCCAAGAAAGACTTTGATAGGATTCAAGAGTGTAAATTTGGAAGCAAGGGAAAGTACTCATATTGCATTTGATGTGAAACCTTGTGAGCACTTTACAAGGGCTAATAGATATGGTTCATTAGTTATTGATGAAGGGAAATATTTCCTTCTTGTGGGAGATAAGGAATATCCTGTTACAGTATTTGGGTGATCTCCCAGATCTAAATTTGTCAGTTAGAATTAAGTTAACGTATCAAGTGAAATTAAATTATCATGGCAGCGTTATTCACCTGTTCTCTCTAATGTCTTTTTCATATTCAGATTTTGTTATTTGAGGTTCCAAGTTTCCCAAACAAATCTCCATAATAGCTAGAACCATCTCAGGGAAAAGGTGATATTAAGGACGATGTTTGAGAGTGTTAGCTTGAGTGCCCATATGGATTACTAACAAACTTGGTTCTTTTTCGTGTTCCTTAAGTGTAAAGTAAATAAGCAATACAATAAACACAATGATTTTTACGTGGAAAACCACCTGGCTCAAAAGGTGCAAAAATCACGACCTACCACGTAGGATTTTCAACTCCAACTCCACTAGAACAATGAGCCAAAATGTATCAATTACAAGACTGTAATTCAATACTCTCCGGTACTCCTACTACTATTTGATTCACAAGCTACTCTAACTTGTAAAGCAAAATATTCACTCCAACTCACTAATTGTTTATGACGTATGATTACAACTTAATTACCTAAAACACATTCACTAGGCTAACTCGGAAGAATACAAAGCAAGTACTCAACACAAAAAAATAATTTATGACACTTTAGTTGATGTGTAAAGGAATAATTCAGAAGTCCAAAGTCAATCCTATTTTAACACGACTTGAGATCTTCTAGGAGTCCTATTCATAATCAGCTTCCTCTTTGATAGGACTCCTACTGTTCCAAGGATTCCACAAGCTTTGGGACTTTTATCTCTGACTGACTTATCCGTATCTTCTTGAGCAACGACCCATATCACTTATAGCAGCCATCTTCCACCAAACTCGGACCTGGGTAACTTTGAGATAAAGTTGATATCTTGTTCATACGTACAAGCATCAACCATGAGGAGATGATCCTTTAACCTGAGGAGTTGATCCTTTAACCTGAGGAGATGGTTCTTCACAACAGTTAAGCAGCTATATTGAGGACCTGGTTCTTTGAGCAGGTAGTCACACTTTGTTAATCATCAAAACTTTAATATTCAAAAAATTCTCCCTTTTTGATGATGACAAACTTTGTACACAGAACTAGGCAACCACATCAAAGAACCAGATGATCACAACAAGTACTTTTGACATACATGTAAGTTCACAACCCACCAACCCCCTTTTGGCATCATTGAAAGAACACGAACACATGTTAGACATTAAGCACATATAATGTAAGATTCAAGGCCAAACAGACGACAAGACAAGCATAAGAAAAGGCAAATAAACTAGGTTGATGATCCAACAGAGTATAAAGCAGTAAAGCAGACCAATATGAGACATTAAGTAGTGCCAAAAGAAGCCCACGGCCTTGTCTTTATCAGTAGAACAAAATGAACTAAGCATACTGCCAACTACTCAGACTAATACAAAAGGAACAAAAAGATAAGGCATCACGAGAATAGCAAAAGAACTAAGGACACTGGGAAGGAACTGGTTCAAGGGTGAGAAGTAGAGGGGGTCAAAGCTTTCACAAGAGTAGCAATCTGTTGAGCATGGGCCTCCCCGTATCTTCTGATCTCTTCCCTGAGTTGCTTTGTTTCCTTTCTCGGCTCATTATTGTCTTCACGAAGCTTGGCATTCTCTTCAACAGCCAACTCTAACCTCTTGCTGAGTTCTGCAACCCTACTGCTCCTAGGAAGAATGGCAGATCATGTGAATCCTCTAGCCTTGATCTCCTCATAGCCACACTGCTTGAGGGTAACAACATCCAAAACATCATTGTGGTTTCCAAACTTAAGCTCATGCAAGGCAATGTTGAGCTTGTCAAATAACTCAGTCAACATGAAACCATATGGCAAAGCATGATTTGGTTTGGAAGTATCTACAACCCTTGCCATGTGGTGAATCATCACGCTAGGAAGATTGATAGGTCGACCAGTGTGAAGCAGTTCCATCACAGCCATGTCTAGCAGAGTGGCTTCATAACTTCTCTCAGACCTCTGAAGAATGCAGAAGTTGACAAACTGAAACAGTATCTTGTGAAAGGGAATCATATCAGTCTTGTACACTTTCTGGGGAGCATCTAGTTCAAACTTTTGGGAGAACATCCGGTGACCACAATGCCAGTGTCAACATCATTGTCTATGGCTCACCACTTCTTCTTCAAATAATTGTCAAATCCCAAAGAAGGGATATTCAGAAGCAGCCCCAGTTCCTCAGCATCAAACTCCATGTCGAAGCCCCCCACTTTACTCTTAACTACCTTTCCATCAAAAGTGAAATTTGTGTAGAACTCCACCATAACAGGAACACATACTTGNCACATTTCAGCATTTCTCGACTTGCGTGCACAGTCCATAAATTTTTCCAAAATGTTTTTATGTGAAAAAAATTGATTTAAATGTGAAATTGAGCATCAAAACTCATTTGAGTTGACTTCGATCAACGTTTTGAGCAAACGGACTCGGATTAGTGTTCTGATGGTTCTGATAGGTCCGTATCGTGATTTGGGACTTGGGTGTATGTCCGGAATCGAATTCAGAAGTTCCTAGCTCGAATTATTGCTATTTGACATAAACTAAAAATTTAAAGATCTAAAGAATTCCTAAATTTGGCCATAATTAGATTTTGTTTTATATCAGGTCCCTATTTGGATTCTGAAAGTTCGATCAGCTTCGTAATAATATTTGTGACTTGTGTACTAAAGTTGAAGTTATTATGAGGTGTGTAGGCACATTTTCTGTTAGTTTTTGAAAAAAATTTAAAGGTTTGATTTTATAAAGCTTGAATTTTTAAAGTTTGACCGCAGATTTGACTTTTGAGCAAACGACTCCGGAATGGAGTTTTGATGATTCCAATAGTTTTGTATGGTGTTTTCGGACTTAGGCGCATGTCCGTAGGACAATTCAGCGCATTTTGGCGAAAGTTGAAAAATAGAAGATTTTTGAAAAGTTTGACCGATAGTTGACTTTATTAATATCGGGGTCGGAATTTAATTATGAAATTAAAATAGCTCTGTTATATCATTTATGACTTGTACGCCAAATTTGAAGCCATTCCGGATTCATTTAACATGTTTCGGCACGAGTTTTATAAATTGAAAAGTTTGAAACTCATAAGTCTGAATCGATGTGTGAATTATAATTTCGACGTTGTTTGACATGATTTGAAATCCGAGTAAGTCCATATTATATTTCGGGATTTGTTGGAATATTCGTACGAGGTCCCAAGGGGCTCGGGTGAGTTTCGGAGTGATTTCGGACCATATTTAGGCCATTTTTAACTGATGGTTTTTTGGCTACAGCAGTGTGCGAATTTTTGATGCACAGAGCTTACTTTGAAATCTTATATCTCGTAATATACAAGGAATTTGGCTATTTTTAAAACATAAAAGTTGTAGCCCTTTGGTTCTAGTTTCCAGAAAGGTAAATCATTCATCATTTGGACATTTGTATAGAAAGTTATGATCGATTTACTTAAGGCTGGTATTGCAGTTTTCGGCTACAGTAGTGTGCAAATTTTTGATGCACAGAGCTTACTTTGGAAGCTTATCGCATTCTATAAGGAATCTGGAGATTTTCAAAACATGAAAGTTGTAGACCTTTGATTTTAGTTTCCAGAAAGGTAAACCATTCATCATTTCGACATTTGTACGGAAAGTTATGATCGATTTACTTAAGGTTGATAGCAGTTTTTGTTTGCTTGGAAATATGAGATGAAGTCACATTTCACACATGCGACTTGCCTAGGCAGAATGCTTAAAATCGAAAGTTTGCCATTTTTACTCATTTTTGAGTTTTGAGTCTCGGATTTGGCCGATTCCAAAGGGGTTTTTCACGAATTTAACTTGGGTAAGTGTTCTCTATCCGCAAGTGATTGTATTTCATAAATCTATATCAATATTCATCATTTATTTCGGATTTAGAGGGAAGAAATTGAGATTTTTGTAAAACTTTTCAAAAATAAAAATTTAGGATTTGAAAGACAATCTGATGTCGGAATTCGATAATTTTTATATGGTTGGACTCGTCTGGGAATGGGTGTTCGGATTTCGTGAGTTTTTCCGAGATTCGAGACGTGGGTCCCATTGTTGATTTTTTAGATGAATTTCAGATTTTAATTCGGAAAATCTGTAATTTCATATGGAATTAATTCCAACAATTCGTGTTGAGTGTATTGAATTGTTTATGACTAGATTTGAAATTTTCGGACACCAATTTGCTAGGCAAAGGTTTATTGGAATCTTGAATTTGGTTGTGAAGCGAGGTAAGTGTCGTGGTTAACCTTGACTTGAGGGAATAGAACCCTTAAATTATTTGTTAAGTGAATTTCATGTGTAATGACGTATAGGCGAGGTGACGAGTGCCTATATGTTGTCAAATTGATTATTTGCATATTTATCTAATAATCATAAATTATTTTAAATCGTGAATTAATTATTATATTAATTATTTCTCTCATATTCCTTGCCCAATATTATGTCTTGAATTCATGCTATAATTTCTACATGTTTATTTGAATTATGTGTCTTAATTGTTACTTAACATTTAGCACATTAAATATTAAATTACTTATTTTCTCCCTGATTTTCACAATTAATTGCTACTTGTCATTACTTGTTTCCCAAATAAATTATAATCATTGTATGCCCTGTTGCCTAATAATTTCTTATTTAATGTGATATTTATTGAAATATTTTTACATTTAAGAATTGTTAAATTATATTGTTGGAGCAGGTTGCACGCCACAACGGATTTATTTTAAGTTTATATTGTTGGAGTTGGTTGCATGCCGCAACGAATTTATTGAAATTTTATATTGTTGGAGCGGGTTGCACGCCGCAACGGAATTTAATTGAAAGATTATATTGTTGGATCGGGTTGCACGCCGCAACAGATTTTATGTTAAGTTTATATTGTTGGAGCGGGTTGCACGCCGCAACGGAAATTTATTGAAGGATTATGACTGTTGAATTGACTTCAATTATTGATATGATTTGCCGGTCTTACTTCTTTTCATGTTGTTATTATTATTATTGCGTACAGGTTAACGTAAGCGACTTGCCTTAGCCTCGTCA